ATGACACTTTGCCCAACTATACATCTCACATTGGAGGCTTTGGGAAATCCTCGAAAACTAGTCCTCAGTGTCGGAGGGGCACTGAAGAGTAATCGAAAGAGTATTATCAGAGCTTTAAAGAATGCTCCAGAATGCTTCTGTCATTTCAGCTACATTCCAGGAGGTGGTAGCAGATGGTCATAAAGATACCCTAGATACAGAATGGTAGGCAAGTTTGAGACAGGTAAACTCAGGCAGGAAAGACTTCCCTAATACTGTCTGGTACCATCTTTGCAGCTAAAGAATCAAAAGCAAATTGTTTGTAATAGCCAATATCTGTACGTGAGGCAAAATTTAAAAGATACAAATAGGTATTCAACAGAAAGTAAGCCTGTCTCCCAGTCCTGTCCCAGTCAGTGTTCCCTTCTCCAGAGGCAGCCTTCGTTACCAGCTTAAGTGTCCTTCCTGAAATTGTCTGTACATTTACAAATATATACATTCTGTACCATACCTTTTACACTTATCTCAGATAGCTTTCCATGCAGTACACATACCGTACTCTTTTTAATAGCTTCATAAGATTGCATGGTATGGATGTATCATAATTTCTTAATCATGAAATGAATTTTTATTATCAGTATGTCTAAAGCAGAGATAGGAAATTAGCTACCCACGAGCAGACACTACCCATGGATGTGTTTTGTTCAGCCATCATAATGGTTTTAACGTGTACATCTCAATGTATTTGGCCATATGGGGTATGGTAGAAAAAGCTGTCCATCAACACCCACTCCCATCTCTTAGAGGGGTATCACGGGGAAATGGCACCCCTAGCACACACTACGTTTCCCAGCTGCCTGACAGCTAGGCACGTCCATGGGACTAGGTTTCCCCTGTTAGAGTGGAGTAGAACTGATGAAAGTTCCTGGCCTGAAGCTTTAAAGGAATGCCCCATATCATGTTACCTATTTTCATAAATTTGAAGGTGTGAATGCCACCCACTTCTAAGCTATTCCCTTAAATCCTACTCGAATCCTAAACCAAGAGTCTGTGGACTCTCCTCCCTTTGGTTCTACAATCTTTTATTTCATTTCCTGCTTCTTCCTTTGTATAAACATCATCACTCCTGTGTAACAACTATCCCATCTTTCTCTTCATTTTCCTCTTTTACTTTTGCTTCTTTGCATGTTCTCTCCAACCCGCTTCTTCTGCACACTATCACTCCACTTTAGGCCACTCTGTCTCAGTAATTTAGCGTCATTTGCTCTGTTTTCCACAATCCTGTTGAGTATCATTTTGTTAAACATGGGCTTCATTTTATCTTTCCCTTTCAACTCAAGTCCACATCTGGCTTCATCTCACATTATCTTCTCCTCTTTTCTTTGCTTTTCCTTTTCTTCTATCATTATAAATAGGGTGGCCCAGGTAGTTTGTCTTAAGTTATACAGTTGGCAGGAGGGGAGGCAGGGAGTGGAAGGAACAGGGCCCCAGGAGAGCAGCAAGTTAGGTTCGCTTCCTGATGGCCACCCTCACATTCCCAAGTGCCTGAGCTAGGGAAGCCCAGAACCTCTCAGGCAAAACGAGGAAAAGACAAGTGATCCCATGGTTAGGCAAAGAGAGGTATAGCAGCAGAGGCTGGCTGAGCCTTCGAGCAGGCAATTCCCAAAAAAAGAAATATTAATGACCAGTAACAATATGAAAAGCTGCTTAGCCCCACTGGGAATCAGGGAGATGCAAATTTTTGCCTATCATATAGGTAATGATTAAAAAGATGAACATGAACCAGTGTCGGCAAGGGTGTGAGGAGACACTCTCAGACACTGTTAATAATGGATTCAGTTGACAGACCTTCTACAGCATAGTTTGGCAACACATATCTACACTTTAAACATCTGCAGCCTTTAACCCTGCAACTCCAACGTGCAGGGTTAAGCCTAAGAAAATAATGAGAGGAGGAAACAAAGACGTGGCTATGAACTCATTAATAACCTCTGCCTGTTTATAACATAAGAGCAAAGTGGTGTTGTGGCAGAGTCTGGCAAAGGGGCGGCTAACCTTGTCAGGGGGAGGAGGAGGGACAAAAAGAGGGGAGGGGAGGGGAGGGGAGGGGAGGGCGAGCAGTAGGAACACAAGGGACACCACAGTGTGAGGAGGGCATGAGGTGGGGAGAGAGGCCTGCAAGGGTGAGAAAGGAGTGGGGGCAGGGTCAGAGCAGTGGGCGAGCTTGAGAGAAAAGTGTGGAGAAGAGAAAAGGAGAGGGGGAGAGAGAGAGAACTCACCATCAACACAATAGATTACGGTGCATCCACATCACACGGGCATTAATGTAGTGATGTGGTTCTCTGTATGAAATAGAAAGATAGTTAACTGAAAAGAATAGGATACAGAACAGTGTGACCCGGTTTATCTAAAGTGATACAGAAAGACCAGTGTAGCAAAGGGATTACTACATGGCTACCATGGTTCTCACTGGGGGGACTCTTCTGGTAGTTTTAGACTCTACTTCATGTTTCTAATTTGTAAGAATTTTAATAATTTCTAGCAATATGCAATGCACTAAAATTGTACATAATTTAGACAGACCCTTGTACTTTCGTGTGAGAATTAATTAACATGGAAATAAAGTAGATGCAGTGATACCACTTGCTTTTCATACTGCAGAAACATTCTATTCTTCATGTGATAAATTTAAACTGCTCATTAGAATTTCATTTGTGTAAGTTTGTACTGAAAAGACAATGGAATTAGGCTATGAATGCAGGATGTCACCCATCTAGCTAGTCTTTGTCTAAATCTTGGATTTATCAGGCCCTACCACAAGGGTCCTTATCAAACCAAAACACTTTTCATCTTGAAGTCACAGAGACACTGGAGATATCAAGGGAAGCTATCTTAATCCAGGTTCTCCTGAAAGCAGTCCCTGAAACAAGGACCTGAGAACAGGTATTTTATTTGAGCGTGGGGAAAGTGAGACAGGGTAGGAGGGAAGCACGCCAAGAAAAGGCGCATTCACGCATGGGGCACTACAGCAGGCAGCCGGGCTGCGGGCCCTCAGCGAGGCTTCTGAAGAACTGTGTAGGAAGAATCACAGAACTGTTCCCTGGAGGTCAAGGGGGTCAGGGGGGTTTACCCTCATCGGTGCAGGCTTGCTGCTGGGGGCATTAAATTTTTGGTACTTGTAGGCCATGGGAATATGGGCCTCAGATGCATATTGAGCTCTATGCGCCAAACATGTACTACAGGTTGAGTACTCCTAATCCAAAAATCCGAAATCTGAAATGCTCCAAAATCCAAAACTTTGTGAGTGCTGTGAGTGCCGACATGACGCTCAAAGCAAATGGTCATTGGAGCATTTCAGATTTTGGATTTCTGAATCAGGGATGCTCAACTGGTAAGTATGTAATGCAAATATTCCAAAATCTGAAAAAATTTGAAATCCAACACACTTCTGATCCCAAGCATTTCAGATATGGGATATTCAACTGGTATTCAGATTATGTTTATTAGCTCATCAAAACCTTCCAAGTCCATGGAGCATTGGCTCTATTTTACAGATTAGGAATATGAGATGCACAAAGATTAAGTCACTTGCTGAAAATCAAACAGTTAATAAACAGCTGAGCTGAGCTCTAAATCCAGTTTTGTCTCTTCTACTATATGATACAATGTTGTAAAAACCACAGTGTGTCGATTCTCAAACACAGCTGGTACCTCCTTGCTGGATCACATGGCCTGAGAGACGCTTGCACATTTCCAGCCTCCCTCCTTGCAAGAGTAAGATACTGAGATAGCCTCCCAGATTGTTTTAATCTTCTTGCAACCAGATAAACATATTCTAGGTCATAATCCACCAGCCATGTGAAATTTTTATAGCATCATCACCCGTGGTTACTCCCACCCTAAATACCAGTTACTATGAAATTATGCCAGAATTTGGATCAAAGTATGGGGGGAAATTCAAGGCAAATTTTTGTCTGTTGAACTCATGGCAGAGAATTAAATTTCATACAGAGTTCCAGATTCTAGTATATTAAAAAACAATCTATAACTTTACTGTGAGGAGAGTACTTTATTAGAACAAATAAAACATGCTGAGCTCTGCCCGGACACAGAGGTCATGCAAATGTGTGAGCCAAGAAGAGTTTTTTCTTGCTTTAGTAGAAAAGATAACAATCTGCAAATCACTAGCATCTGAGTCTGGCTTGATTTAAAATGCACATGGATGTAGAAAAAGTTCCAGGAAATCATTGTATTTATAGCTTGCATGCATGAGTCGGTGGAAAGGCCCTTGCTGCTCCCAAAATAACACTTGGGACAGCATTGTATCCTATCACCTTCACTAAAGTGAAGGCATATCTCTCATCTTCTGTTCTCTAGGTTCCCTAGGAGGACATCTCCCGCTTCACAGGAAGCCAGGGGAGCAGACAGGCCAGCTATATAGCTGCTAGCTCAAGAAAGTTCCATTCCCAGAAGCCCCGGAGCAGCCCACCTGATGGGGCCCTTGGTCTGGACCCCTCCACCAACCACCCGACAGTCAGTCAGATTTAGAACCCCCTTAGTATTAAACCCTACAGGGTACACAATCTTCCCCACAAGGATAAAATGCAGGAGCAGGTTCTGGCTAGGCAGCGATCACCAAGATCTTTCACCTAAGAACCACACAAGCACCTGAGGAAATGGCAGATCTATCTTGTTTACAGATTACCATGATGCAGAGAACAAGACCCCAGCCATGCACTCAGTGGGCTGTCTGGGGCTGAAGCATTTTTATCCTCTTAGTAGAGAACTTCATAATTCTTGATCCATTGTAAAGTATGGGCAAGGCTCCAGACACATGTGCTATATATCTGTCTAGAATTGCTTTCCCTCCCAAGAATACCATAGCCACATGAAGACCTTCATGGGATGGGAAATTGCCAGGTGTGCTTTTTCTTCGGACTCACAAAGGCCTCTGTGGCAGACACACATCCACTGGCTGCAACAGGAAAGGGAAGGGCTCGGAGGGCAAAGGGGCACTTCACCTGGCACACTGGGCTGGAAGACTTTATTCAGATCCAAGGAGGAGGCTCTGGAATGGGTTTTCTGTGGCCGCGGTGGCGGGGTGGGAGGGTCCTCGCCCCTTTTCATGGCCTCTTCTATGGAGGTGCTAGAGTAAGATCTGTAGCAAAATAAGGGAAGGTCAGAAGGGAAAGAGCAAAGCTTTAACTCTCTTATGTTGGGTTGAAATGGAAAATATCCCCAAAGTCAAAGTGATTGCAAAGGACTGATCAGCTACCAAAGAAGCCATAAATTCTATTATCCTTTGGATGCCACTATTTATAATAATTCTCCAAATCCAGCCATGAATTGGGGTCTTTTTAATCTCTTTGCTCTTATTATACCTTAGACCCCTCCTAAAAAAACCTGTAAATACAAATCAGTTTCTACCGGAATTGTTAATAAAAATAACATGCAACCCCTCAGCTTATACACTTCCATGTTTTAGCAGAAGGATTTCATGGTATTAACTGATGGCAGAACTTTTCTCCTGTTTACTTGCAGATATGATGACAGACCCATATGGAATTGGGCCAGATAAACTGAGGGTAAGAATCAATGTTCAAGGGAATATGCCACAAATGAAATTCAGGAAAGGAAAACACACATTTTTCAGGTTAAAGGGTCTAGCTTATCTTATCCTGAGAAATACAGATTTGGGAAATTTTCAAAGCAAAAGCCTCATTTTATCCTTCTTCCTCAATCTGTAGCAAGGCACAGTTAACTAAGTAACTTCTGAGATTATAATTCTAATACTGGCATTTAAAGAAAAAGGAACTAAATAACTTACCAAAGGTCACACAGATAGAAAGTTACATAGGTTCAATTCAAACTCTAGTCTTTCCCTGTTTCTAAATTCCATTTTTAAAATGTTCTCATACTACCTATAAGCCAGGGAAGAAATCCTTTAGCAGTAGCAGCTAGAATATTTATTGGAAACCTATTTATTTTCTAAATCAATCCAACTCTGTACATTGGTCATTGCTTAGGAATATGTTTAAAGGTGGGTTCCCAATACAATGATCATGAAAGGAATCTAGGAAGTAGATATGTATGTCTGTTCTATTCAGCTTCTCAGCTAACTTTACGTCAAAGCATAAAATAATCTTTGAGTCGAGTAATGTCCTAGAGACAAATTAAGCTCAGAAAACTGTTCTTCATATTTAGCTATTAGAGTGGCACCTAGGAAATTAGAATCTATCAATTACTATTAAGCCCCTTCAGTTCTTAACAGAGCTGTTTTTGACATAGTGAGTTTTTATTTTCCTGAATAAGTTTCTCAAGCTTTCTTTGTGGTAGTCTAGGGTTTTGTCTGTCTTGCAAGGTTGCAATCTTTAATAAAGCCATCATAATGGCATATGACATGCTCTGGGGTGGTCCCTGTAACGTAACTGGCAAGACAGGCAAGGCAAAGGCAGGTAGAAACTAGCAGGGAAGAATGTTCTAACACTTTCAACCAGAATCAAAGGAAATTAATACAAAAGGACAGGTTTTTAAATGGTAACTCTTTAATTAAAAAGAAAATTAGAGACCCTAGCTAAAAATTAAAAGAACTTCCTATGTCACATATAGCTTTAGTGACATCTTTCACTCAAGGAGGAAAGAATAATGTGTTTGTATATAAATAATGTGTATGCATGTGTGTATGTGCACACACATTCATATATAGTTAAGCACGCTATCTCATACCACGTACCTCATTTTCATTTTATTTCCATATATGACCTGTATGTTTATATTTTCATATGGATAGTTACTGAATATCAAATGAGACTGTATAACCATGACTGTAATCAATTAAAACATAAATGTGCAGGGAATTGACAAAATGATGAATGTAGTAGTGTTAGAATGGTGATTTCCCCTCTTTCTCTTACATTTCTACAAAGCTTTATTATTTTAAAAAGGAGGATAAAAATAATTTGATTCTCTTGGTCTCAACAAAGACCCAGTCGGAAAATGAAATCATCCAAATTGGACCAAGAGACCAATCCCTGAAAGGATAACATGTAAAATTTAGCCAGACACATTAATAATAGAATATGTGCCATGAGATTTTGTAATTTCACTTGCAAATTTCACTCTGGGGGAGAGAAGAAGTCAGTAGAAGCTAAAATTGTGAGGTTCAATTTATGGTTAACATAGTACGCATAAGGAGATTTCCGCAATTCAAAGAAGGTACTCCCTACTATGAAAGCACATAAATATTACTAATCCCACAACCCAAAGCTAGTACAAATTTGTAAAAGATCCATTCATCCTTTTAAAAAAGATGAGTAAACGTGGTGACCACACAGAGAAAGAATGGCTATCCCTTTTCTTCCCACCCACATGAATTACTCTATATATTTTTTAAAAATATATAAATATAAAGGCCGGGCACGGTGGCTCACGCCTGTAATCCTAGCACTTTGGGAGGCCGAGGCGGGTGGATCGGTCAAGGTCAGGAGTTCAAGACCAGCCTGAGCAAGAGTGAGACCCCCGTCTCTACTAAAAAATAGAAAGAAATGATCTGGACAACTAAAAATATATATA